AAGTATTTAAAAATTTATTTTTAGAAGCAGTAGTGAGCCAAACTATTTTATATTTTGATTTAACAACTTGTCCTCGTACCTTACTTTCTTTGAGTAAGTTTGGTAATAAGTAGACTAATTAGAGTTAGTTCCTCGTTAAATCAAGGCGAAAAAGTAGTTTAAGACATTTTTGAATTTGTTTCTTTTTACAGTAACAGGATTGTTTTCCAATCCCTAAATGGGCTTTGCGTTTTTAAACTGTTTAATGTACGGCTCTTTTTTAGGCTGTGGCAGTGAAAATACCTCATGCAAAATTTAGTCAAAATGAATTGCTAAAAGGTATGCCTCCTAACCAAACATGTTGACTTAACAGTTTCTTTAAACAGGTCTTATTAATTTTGAAAAATCATGTTTAGGAAATAATCTGTTAAGGTTTTTCTTGAACTAATTTTTTCAGCGGTTAGAGAAGAGGCAGGAATATTCAGGCAGTTGTCCCACAGAAATATTTTGACAATGTATGGTGTTATTGCTGGCAATGAACCTGGATTAGTACTGGAGTTGTGCAAAGGTTAATTCATTAACCTGTTTTTTTTTTCTCAGGGATATTAAAAAAATTTGCAAGAAACTCTTTGGCTTTTTTTTTTATATTAAGAAATTTTCTAGTGATGCTTTGGAGCCTTTTTAGATTCGTTAGCAGGGCTGTGTTCCAAAAAAAGGAATATAGCCATTCCCGTTGAGGTGTTTTATGTATTTGCTATGCAGATATCTCGTGGAATGAAGTATTTACATGGGTTAAACATACTTCATCGTGATTTGAAGGCTGCTAACAGTATGTTTTGGTTCACTTTTTTCTTTTATTTTTATCAAATTATTAGCTTTTTTTTCAGTTTTGATCAAAGAACAAGTATGCGAGTGTTATCCAAATCGACATGGAGGAGACTTAATGCAACAGGATATACCTTTAAAAGATGGGATGTGTTTAAAATGTGGTGGTGTCATTTTAAGCCGTCTTACTCTTAAAATAGCAGATTTGGGCCTTTGTAAAAAGCTGCAATACCGCCATGTTGACTGCAGGTATTTCTGACTAATTTGTTTATACGCCCACATTTAATGTACAAAAAAAAAAACAAAGGATTTATATATATATATA